TCTGGTGAGTGGTTAAAGAAAAACAACTGAAATTTTGTGTACGGATATACTATGGTTTTACCTATCTTTTGGTGCCTTATTTTACCACTTATAGGGAACGTCCTGTGGAGGATTCAGTAAAAAGTTTTAATGGAAGCAAATGGTAAATGATACATCATTTTAAAGGCCATTTTTTTCTGAGTAAGGAGCCACAAGTTTCATCTCAAAAGGACCACCCTAGCAAAAATGGCGACTGTTTGAAATTTAAAAAACCACTTATAGGGAACGGAACTTTTAAATTTCAAACAGTCGCCATTTTCGCTAGGGTGGTCCTTTTGAGATGAAACTTGTGGCTCCTTACTCAGAAAAAAATTGCCTTTAAAATGATGTATCATTTACCATATTAAAAACTTCTATTAAAACTTTTTACTGAATCCTCCACAGGACGTTCCCTATAAGTGGTAAAAATCTTCATAAGGCACCAAAAGATAGGTAAAACCATAGTATATCCGTACACAAAATATCAATTGTTTTTCTTTAACCACTCACCAGATATAATGTTGGTTCCAGACATTTTCAACACCCTGTATAAACCTTCGCAAATACAGTATCTGACAGTTTCAAGCCAAAACACATGCTTCGCAATTAAATGTCACCCGGTTCGTGTTAGTCCATAATATGTTAAATCCAATGATTAAACTAAAAAAGCTTCTTAGGCCTAGATCTCTGAGGCATATCCCTAAGGTAAGCCTATAGTTGAAAGTTACTTCCTACAATGGTTTAAAGTATTTAAAGTACTACCTCAACCTTACCATTTAACACTTTATTCGGGTTGACATTTTAATTATCAAGGTGCTCTTGTCCTTTTCGTGACACTGAGAAAAAAAGGACATAAATGCGTTACCAACAGACATACACACAAAAATACAGAACTTAATTAGAAAATTTGCTACGTTTTAAGCATTTGAAATTTGTATTAATGTCATCAAATTTTATTATACCAATCTATATTTACTTGGACCGAAGATGACCCGAAATGCTGTCGAAATGGCGTCTTACTATATGAAATGAAGTACTATAGACAATTTAGATTGGTAATTTATAATAAAAATTACCAAAATAGGCCACAAACTATTGATACATAAACAACGTAAATCATAAACAATTCATGATGGTTTGCTAAACAAATGTTTTACTTAAATGAGTTATCATTTTCTTAGCATAAACTAAAATTTTGAATCCAGACAGAAAAAGCAAAACTTATACAGTTAAGACATCAATTTAATTGAGTACGGCTATAATACGACTGTATAAATAAGGTGAACACCAACGATAACTAATTTGTAAATTACAGTGATGTTTTGGTACGTAAAAATGATTCTTGCTGCTACCAAAGGTTCTAAGGAAAAGAACCAGTACCAAAAACCAACGTTTACAGTTAAGAATTACATCCGACAAATTAAATGCGTTAATCAAGTCCCAAAGTTATTGATTTCTTGGTTTTGGATTTTCTCGTAAAAGATTATTGGCAATCAAAGTTATTTCCCATTAATCGCTTTATTCGTAAACAACTTTTAATGTAAAATTATTGGTGTCAGTTTGAAAAAAAATCAACCTCATACAAACAACTGTTTGTTATTTAATAGATTACGTAGGCCTATTTTCTCTAAACAATGATTCGTATATCTTTTAACATTAGAATGAAATGTGACAAAAATGACACAACACCGGGTTTTTGGACGATTGTAATATTTTATTTCTTAAGTAGGGAGGCCGTGTATTCTAGGGAAAATTACCGGTATCAAGGATCGTCGTCGAAAAGGTTGTTATGAATAATTGGGTAGGCGTAAGTACCCAAGAGATGGGCTATGAGCCTATTGGCTGTATGGTCCGGCGATTGCATCATACGGTGAGTAGGAAAAGAAAGTGACACATCGGAAAAGCAAGTTTAGCATAATCCATAAACCGTAAACCTCTGTTACAATCACCCACTGCAGTTGTGATTTTTTACTTTACACTTTACACAACCGCCATTGAAGCGCCGTCAATGAGTGGAATCCTTGTTAGTAAGCTATTGGCGACGATCATTAATAAATTCAAGTTTCCCAGCCCTATACAACACTGATTCAAGGTCTTCTTTCTGGTTATCAAAACTCAAGAACAATTTTACACACAAAGAATCTCTGGTTCCTGACCTGGATTATGCCTAGTTATTAATTATTTCATTTACGGTTACACTATATTATTCCACTTGCGATTAATTAAATCCGTTATGTAGGACAACGTTTTTAATGTCACTTGGATTTGATTTACCTTCAAAACGTGATCGGAAATGGTTGCGGTATTTGTAAACAACATTTGTAAACAACATTTGTAAACATATCAGTGACAGCTAGAAAAAATAATCTTGATCCGAACAGCTTTTCGTTATTTCATAGATCATTATGTGATAAAAATTGGACGAAAACTTGACAAAAATCGCACAAAACTGCATTTTTGAACGTCCGTAATTTTATTTACTAAGTAGTGAGGCCATGTTTTAATGACTAAAGACACTCTCGCCAATCCAGTGAATACATTAAAATGACTTGGATCTTTATAGGTACTCTCGTTTTCCTGGAGAAGATTGCGTAAAATGCCATCTTGAGTGTTACAGAAAGACAGACAGACAGAAATTTAGATGAGACTTGTTTCGGCTTCTTTAATGTATAAAACGTTAAAATAACCTACAAATTTATGATTCTGAGCAATGTACAGACAAAACTCAAATTTTATTTATATAGATTGCAGGAATCTTATGATTAACAAAGGAGAAGAATGGATTACAGTTTAGAACGAGCTGCATGACGATCCAACTAAGAGAATTGCTTAAATGAAAATCAAGAAAAACTGCGGTCAAGCACAGATGCCTGCACACCACAACCCATCTATCCAACCCAGCATAGCAAGTATAAAGATTTCAATGATCTTTGCAAGAAGCGAATCATTCCAGCGAGTTACCTTGAAGAATATAAAACCATGCCGTCAAGTTCCACAGTTCGAGATGAACTGCCCGAAACGGATGAGGAACACAACGCAGAACAGCCTTAATTTTCTTTTAACCATGGATTCTTTCTAGAACTAGCCTAGGCCTACTTATCTTATTTTAGACATTGTATGATATTTGTCAACAATTTAAAACATTCAGGTAGACCAGGTTATATCAACAAGTTGTGCTTAACAATAAAATATAATATTTAGATGACTAGGGCTGCATTTAAGTACTTTTTGTTGTTTATAAACTAATGTCCATGAATGAATTTTTGTATTACAGTATATTAAGAAATCTGAATTCCTTGACGTTTTATTCTGTTTAAATGACGTGTCACAACTTTTAATTTTGATGTAGTATGTAACAAGGTAGTATGTTTTTCATATAAACTATTTTATTTTTCTTTAATAAAAATGTTATTATCACAATTTTATTGTATTTATCATTGATTTTTGTTAGGTTATTACTTAAACGCTCCTAATAACAATAAATTATTCCTCGAATAAGTTAATTCATTTACATTTTCTTTTTTGGTAAAAAATGTTTACCCAATATTCAACTATTTGACAAAAGAACATTTTATTAAGTTTGCCAAAAAGGTGTAACCATCAACATTGTGGATTACTCCCTCTTAAATAACCACATCATAAGTCTTCCAAAAGGGCATAACCCCCAAAATGAGGGTTACACCCTTCTTCACTAGATGACATTATGTTTTGGCAAAACGATGTAATCCACACATGGGTTTAAAAGTTTAAAGTCTGTTAATTTATTTTTTATTCTATGAAAGGGAGGCATTATAAAACCTTTAGAGGAGATACCTAGGTTTCTTAATACAGTGATAACGCTAATCAAAGTTTAAAATATTGTCTTTTTTAATGAGAAAATAGGCAGGTCAAAAGTGTTTCCCCTCCCTTGTAAAATATCCACAATAATGTTTTCTGAAATCACAGAACGAAAGAAAAACACACAAAAGATATTTTATAGAAAACTAATAAAACACACTTAGCGTACGATATAGAACCCTGAGTTTGCCTAAAAGCTTCCTCCTCTATGAGTTAGTCCTTCGTTTTGGATTAGTTTCCTTTCTTCCTCCAGTAGATGGGATTTTTCTGAGTTTTTTTACGATACTCTATAAACTTCAATACTTTTCCCACCTCTGAAAGGTCAAGTCACTTTTTGTCTAAGCGTTTTGCTATTTTAGATGTGGCAACTGCAAGGCTAATTCCACATATGGCTCGAATGGTGTACATTTATTACAACCAGTGTTGACATAAATTTACATCCAAAGGAATAATAAAATAACGCGAAAAACTGTATTTTTTGTTAATAATTCATAAATTTTTAGTTGAGCCTCCGAGCTACATTGAAGGTGACATGAGTAGAATTTAGTATAGTGTAATAGATTTTTTCCCAAAATTGATCTGTATGAACATACGTATTCATATGCCTTTCTTTCGATTTAATTCCCTTTTGTATGTACTTGAGAATATAAATTTGTATTTATTATATTTCTCTTCTACATTTTCCCTCTATACATGGTTCATACCAGTATTGTTTCTCATTAAACAGATCGTTTATTTTTAAATATGTCCAGTTTTTTCTGTCTATTTAGGCTAATCATCGATAATGACTGTTTAGAATTTAGATTGTCTTAAAATTGCACTTAATTTACATTTGTATGTTTGGGAAATCCTTTTATATGTTACTAATTAAGTGAGTGTCAGATTCTATTGTTACACTAAAATAGGGGACACACTATGATTTCTTCACTGGGTATATGTAAAAGACAAGTGTAATAAAATGGAGAGGGTTCTATGCAGCTTTGTTACTATGACTAGCTGTTTAGCCGAACATTTTGACTCAAGCCAATAATCATGTCCAGTTTCCAGCCAACCCCTCGCCGTATTGTCTTCCTAAAGATTGACTATATCGAGTCGATTCCTCGGCAACGTAGTTTCTTCAATGCTACAAGATTCACTTGTTTCAGGACTGGACAACCTTCACGAGTACCTCAAGTTCTCATATCCTCGCATGAGAGCCCCGTCGTTCATATGTGAGAACGAGACGCGCCAAGGTCTAACGCTGCACTACCGCAGCAAGCGGAGAGGCTTCGTCTACTACACCATGGGGCAGATACGTGAGGTCGCCAGACACTTCTATCATAAGGTATGGAAAGTAAATTTACTTTCCGTAAATTTAATAACAGGTACAATGCTGATCAAGAAGTTAATCATAAGGTGTGTATCTCATTTTAACTGTGTATCTCATTTTACTGTAATGGGTTTTATGGATTGTAACTGTTAAAACCCATATCTTGCAACGTCGAAAATATAGGTTTTTGGCTGGACCTAAAATAAATAATAACCCATATTTATATTAAGATGGACAATTGGATCGGCAACTGGGTTCCGAAATTGTTAATCGTAAGCCATTTAATTGTAAGTTGGAGGGTTTTCTTCATGTTTTCCCTTATTGTCTACGCCTGTGGCATTGTCATATGAGGTACACAAATGTTTTCAGGGCAAGTGGTTCCGACCCATATGTTTTTGAATGTTTATGGAATTGAACCCGCCCCTCTCGTAACGAAGATTGGTACTTGTATAGCAATATATGCATTTAAATATGTAATATTCCACTGATATGAGATCGATTCAGGAACGGAAACCGTTAATAATTATAATCAAAGGAGAAGTAAGTAAGATGGGGTTGACAGAGTGCTTTATACTCTTTGGTGTCGTAATTGCCCTCGGCTTGGTAATTGTAATCTTCAGTGACTAGTATCATCAGCAAGATTAAATGTTTAAGACTTAATATTATCAGCCAGCTAAACGATAGTACCAAAGGCTTGATCCCCATTCCGTGTTAGGTGATTTTTTAGGAAAGAGTATTACCAATTACATTAGAGTGTAAAGTACGAACCCTTAGAAATCTTCCTGCCTTTAATATTTTGAGTGGCATTGGCGTGCTCTATTGTTGTAACAACAAAATGTATTGGCCCACAAGACCAAACGATAAGTTTGTGTCGTGCTTTAACGCATTCAATTAGTCTTAGTACAGCTTAGTACAAAGAAGAAATAAAAAGCTTAATACATTTGCCGTAACTCATGCGAAAGGCAATCTGTTTTAGTGATATTTTCTACGCTGGGAATTTTACAAAGAAAATTAATCCTAACTACAAAAAGTCAAGTATTTGAAAAAATCCATCAACATTCTAGTCGTACAAATGATCTCTTGATCGAATATAACGCAAGAATTCCCATAGCCGCTCAACGTTGCATAAACCGTATGTACTGTAATATTAATAAAATAAAATAAAACATTATAACCCTCTACACCTGTTTTTGCTGAATGATGCACTTCTAAACTTGGGTTAATGTCATTATATAATTTGATATTTTCCACACTCTTGTTAACCATTTATTTATACACTCAAATTTAAGCTTGAAATGATAACCTGAACTGACTTAAGTTCTTACCCGAATAGCTGGATGCTAAGAGTATTACAAAGAATTGTCTTTATTGTACGTAAACTATACGAAAACAAAAAGAAATACCTTCAAAAGTTTTATTTAAGACATTTATCTATAGTTTTCTTAATCCATTCACATTTTTTTCTAATACATTTTAAGTTGTTAAAACCTATTAATTTTCTTTCATTTCTATATGGGTAGTTCATACCTCTAAAGTATTAAATACACTGTAATCATGTAGTTTTAATACAATTGCAAAGCACCGCCACATATGTTTATTGTTAAATCAATTGACAGTTTAAAAAAATAACCATCCCTTTTTTGTTAATAATAAAATTAAATTAGCTGTTGGTTAAAAAAGGTTATTGAAATTAAATAGGATTAAATTAACTCGGAAATCTATATTAGCCAGAAAATAAGTATTTTTATATGACCTTTATGTACATTATAAGCGGATATCCCAGAGTGAAGCGCGATGCAGTAACGATGACGCCTATGTAACGGGATCAGATTAGACTAATGCGCTGCTGATAAAGCATGTTACGTTCAGCTGAAACATTTTGCCTGCATCATCACCCTTATCTTTTAATTGCCTACAAAAACAGTTCAAACTCAGAAGCCTGTGTATCTGTCAAGTGCACACAAACTACATAAACTTTTAGAGCGATTGATTTACGTATTACATAAAAATGGGGAGCATTTTCATTTTGAAATACTCTTGAATCAAATAAGCTAAGATTATGCACAAGATAATGTACTTGCCTTAGATTGCTGCCCTAGTTTTAAATGTTGTAAGCTTTCACAAAACTTAGGTAGAGCTTATGCAAGTGTATATCTGTTATAATCTGGCTGAAATATTTAGGCGGTTTAAGGGGAATTTTACATATATCCCCCTCTCCACTTATTTGTCTAATAGCCTCTCCAGCTGATAACGCTTTGTTAGCAAATGTCAAAACAAATGAGTAATCATTTGTTGATGTTTTTGTGTGGTTTGGTTTCTGTATACTTAAGTAATACAGTGTGATTTGAAATGGCAACTAAAGCTCCAGATATTTCAGTACAGACTAAAAAAATAGTGTTTAGTGTTTATCAAAACCTAAAGGATATAGTTAAGACCCATCCAAATGTTACAGTATTGGAATTATTCTCAAACACACAACAAGCTACTGCAGATGCATGCTCATTGTCACTTCGAAGTATTCAAAGAATTACCGCAGAAGGAAACAAAAATCCTATACATAATAATTGTAGGAACCAATTTCTATCATCTACAAAAAAGAAGCCTCATAAAAAGTGGATTACAGGCCTTGACGGCTTTGACAGAGATGTCGTGCGACGTACTGTATTAGAGTTCTATGATCGAGGAGAATATGTGACCTGTGATAAACTGAAGAATGTTTTAAGAGATAAAATCGGGTTTAGAGGGGGGCGAGACTCTATGCGGAAGGTTTTTAAAAAAATGTGGGTTCACATTTAAGAAGTGTAATGATGGTAGGCGTTTTTTAATGGAAAGAGACGACATAGTAACAGCAAGATTAGAACTCCTCCGAAAAATGCATGACTTAAGAGAAGATCCACTACAGCGGCCTATAGTTTACCTGGATGAAACCTGGATTAACCAAAATCATTCAAAGAAATACATTTGGCAACATTCGTCAAACGAAGGTGGTTTGCGTGTCCCAATCGGTAAAGGTTCGAGATTAATCATTGTTCACGCCGGATCAGCAAAGCACGGTTTCATTGAAGGAGCTGAGCTGGTGTTTCAGTCCAAATGTACAGGTGACTACCACAAGGAAATGAACCACGAAGTTTTCACAGAATGGTTTGTAGATATGTTGAAACTCTTAGATGAGGGGTGTATTGTTGTTATGGACAATGCCAGCTATCACTCAAAACTGAAAGAAAAAATTCCCTCTTCAAAGACTAAAAAAAAGGACATTACAGAATGGCTAACCAGCAAAGGGATACCTCACAACCCGAGACACACTGTCAGAGAATTATTAAACATCGTCAGAAGTCACAGAAAGGAATATAAAAGATTCGAAATCGATGACATTGCTCTGTGGATGGGGCATGAAGTGGTGAGACTTCCCCCGTACCATTGTCAGTACAACCCTATAGAATTGATTTGGTCACAGGTGAAAGGGGAGGTGGCAGAGCAAAACAAAACTTTTAAGATTAAAGATGTGAGAAATTTACTGGAAGAGTCTATTAAACGTGTTACCGTTGAAGATTGGAAAAACTGCGTGCGACACAGTGAGAATATTCAGAAAGAGGACTTTTTAAAGGAAATAGGCATCCGTGATGACAACTTCCAGCGTATCGTAGTTGATCTCCAGAACGACACAACTGACAGCGACAGTACCGATGACATTGATATGGAGAGCACAGACGGAATCGAATTCTAACAATATTGAAAACCGTGGCAATCAAAGGGTTAATATTGATTGTAGAATAATAATGTAAATGTTGTTATAATATACCAACATCAACGACTTTAATGACTAATAATGTTATATTAGAAATTAATTATTTTGTTTAGTTACTATTTTAATTAAATTATTTTTAATACTGCTAATGAAAATATTATTCTAATTTAGCTTTGATAGCTTTTAAATTTGAGCTGTAACCTTTTGATCTTTTAATTTTATTTTTTTAATATTGCTCAAATTGAGCAGTTTACAACGCCGAAAAAATACAGACTCGCTGTAACAAATCTGCGGGATCGCTTTCAAAGCGATCTTTTGAAAACGTAACACTGATTCGCTCACTTATAAATACGTAAGTCCACGGGCTCACTTTTCCAATCCATGAGCAGAAATGAACCTTTGAGCTCGTTATTGGTTGTATAGTGGTGTTTATAGGTGATTATAGCTCGATTGAAAATAGAAAAGTGGATATATATCCACTTTTCTGTCGAGCAGGTAAAAAGAATAAATAACAACTTTTTTTAATGGTGATGGATCTCTATAAGTCTTTAGTTACTCAGTGATCTAGTCACTGGGAGAAAAATGCTCCGTCAGAAACCTAGTACGTCACGGACTCCTTTTGCGTACTGGACGTTTGTGATAGGCGTCATTGCGTCCATTTATTTGTTTGTTAAATTCAAGTTCAGGTTATTTATCTGTATATTTAACCTATATTTTGTTATAAAAAGAGCTATATTTTTTAAGTGTTACAGTAATTTAGTTAGTTTTTTTTATGGTTTTCTTAACTGTGTATGCTATACTAAACAAACTTTTAAATCAAGACGAATTTGATAACATTTTTCGCGTCACATATAATAGCTACAAACACAGATTTCAGTGCCTAAATTTAGAAATTTTAGTATTGAATACCCCCTAGGCCCCCAGGATATAATTTGAAAATCAGCCTTTTCCAATCAAAAAACGTCTAATTCCAACCATGTATAAGGCCTGTATGAATTAGGTAAAAATGACAAATAGAAGTGGTTTGTTTACGTCTTATACATAACAGCAAACAGCTGTCTTGGTCAGTTCCAGTGGAGGGGATAAGAGTTCTTCCCCTTAAACCGCCTAAATATTTCAGCCAGATTATAGTTGCCATGACAGTGCAAAGAAAGTTTCTATGCTTTGTGGTTGACTTGCTTTGTTGACTTCTCAGTTAAGTGATTAGTAACTTACTCTAACACATTGGATGAAACTAAAAGATGATAATTCTAGAAAACTGAGTTAA